TTAAGCATTAGTGGATCCAACTAGATATTAACATCATTGCATCAGTTAATCAGCATTTTAGGTTGTTCACACCAAACTTGTCCTGTTTAATACAAGGACATAATTTATCACTCAATACGTATATTGGCGCAAACTCGTTTAGGAAATATGACACATAGATAAGGATCCTATATTGCACATTTAAAGTCATAAGTCATTTATATTCTGCAATATAGGCTTTTATAAAGCTTAGGTATATTATCATCATCATTTCAGCCACAGGACGTCCACTGCTGAACATAGGCCTCCCCCAATGACTTCCACATCGCACGGTTGGTAGCGGCCTGCGTCCAGCGCCTTCCTGCTACCTTTATCAGGTCGTCGGTCCACAGATTAGATACAGCCAGCGTTAAATAGTTTGTGACACCCAAAGTGGCCAAAAAGTTGACAACACAACCTTATTCCAATAGGCTAGTTTCCATAAAAATCTTTTACGAAGTTATGATTTTTTTGAAGTTTCGCATGACGTCACAAAGTGCTACATTTTTAACCACTCCTTAACGTCACCTCTTCTTTTGAACTTCAATTTTCATTAGTTTGAAAAAGTGAAAAATACATATCAAGTATTTTTTGATAAGTTAACTGACGGACTTCTTCAAACTCTTGTTTTTTACACAGGAAACATCCCTATTATAACAAAGACGTGTTGCGAACTTTTTGGCTACTTTGGGTGTCGCGAACTATTCGACGCTGATTCTACAGGCTGGACCCATTGCTTTAACCCTACCACTGCTTCGGGACAATAAATGGGCCAGTGCTGAGAAGTAGCGCCAGAAACTCAGTCACCTTTGTCAGCCTATTTTTTAGGGGTGCATCATCATCATCATCATTTCTGCCACAGGACGTCCACTGCTGAACATAGGACTCCCCCAATGATTTCCTTATTGGCCGGTTGGTGGCAGCCTGCATCAAACGCCTTCCTGCTACCTTTGTGAGGTCGTCAGTCCACCCTGGTAAGGGGTTACACCACACTTATCTATCATAATTATAAAGAGGAAAGATTTGTTTGTTTGTATTAAATAAGCTCTGTAACTACTGGACCGATTTGAAAAATTCTTTCACCTTTAGAATTCTACATTAATTATTTTTGATGAACATAGGCGGTACGAAGTTCGCCGGGTTAGCTAGTACTTTCATAAGATAACTATTATTTGGTATGTCGTCATTCTGACGGGCTTAATGTTAGGAAGCGATCTCTTCCAGACCATTAAGGGAAAGGAGGACATAATCTATACTAATATTCTAAAGCTGAAAAGTTTGTTTGTTTGGTTGAATACGCTAATCTCAGGAACTACTGGTCCGATTTGAAAAAATATTTTTGTGTTGGATAGCCCTTTTATTTAAGAAGGCCTTAGGCTGTATTACATCACCCTACCGCCAATAGGGGCGGAGCAGTAGAGAAAAATGTTGCGGAAACGGGAAATATTATGCAATTTTTCTCACGCGTAGGTACAAAGTCGCGGGCACAACTAGTGTTAGAAATATTGGGGGAAAGAAATAATAATAATGAAGAATAAATAGAAATAAGAAAATCTAACAAATAAAAATAAACCAATGTTCTCTATATTAGGTAGGTAGGTAGGTAAGTACTTGTTTTTAAAAACAAGTTTCGATGATTTTATTTAAAATATCAGGTTTCTAACATGTTTGGGTTTTTCTATGTACCTACAAAATTTAAGCAGGTAAAACCAAATGCAGATTTTAAAGCCAATCTGAACTTTTTGTTTTTTTTTACCTGGTCGATGCTAAATATTGTCTAAGTAAGGTAAATGAAAGTGTAATAGACCTGGTAACACCTAGATTCTTAGGTAAAAGTCGACCTACCCCGAGCTTTTTCAAGCAAATGTTGAGTTAGTTTTTGACCTAGATCTAAAGTTATTTGCTGTCTAGAACTAGACTTTAAAGCTCATACTCACTCAGAGGCAAAGTCAGGTCACCCATCACGTCCATCTTCGCGAGTCCACTAAAACTTTGAAGTAAAAAGTTATTGTTTTATTCCGGTATGGCTTTTTCAGTCTGTCATCCATGTCTCTACGCTATTTCGCCTTAACATTCGAAACCTGATGCATTAACACAATCAGACATTCATTTTTTCCGTGTTAATAAACATAATATTATGACAGATAACACTACACCACTGCTATCACTCACTGAGCACCACAAAAATCACTGTAACACACCACACACAATCAATTTACTGCTCAATGGTAAATCCACATCCAAAATACAATGATTTTAACGGATAAACACGATAAAAAATTGTTAAAAAGAATCGTCGCACGCGCAGCATAAAAACAGTGCAAACGTCACTGTAGCCAAACAGGTTTGATTTTTTCTCTAGATCTTGCGCTACCACATGACTATCGAGCGATTGTGAAGAAGTACGACCGGTGGATAACAGATGGCGGTAGTGTGTACAATAAATGGTTGGCTGATTGTTTTTCACGTCTAACTAACCGTGGAAAAGTTTATTGGCATATTGAATTCTTAGTTTTATGTTGATTAAAAGGATATTGATAAAGTTTGAATACTTTCACAAGATCGAGGGCATTTTTGTTGCATTTAAAATAAATGTAGAATCACCAATTGTGACACACACAAAGAGAAATAGCTTTTCAAAACTCAATTAACGATAAGGTATTTCCTGAGACCCGTTCCGGCAGAGTAAAATCCACCAGTCCCATTCTTCCCATAGATTATGTCGTAAAAGGGGACAAATAAGCGAACATCAGGCCTCCCCAACCCGTCTGGCCAGCGTGGGGAGTGTAGGACAAATCCTCCATTCCATTTGCCTCTGGTAAATTAGAGAGTCGTCCTCCTGCAGTGGAGACTAAATGACCTCATGATGATAATGATGATAAGTACATGAATGAGGTAGAAGAACTGAAGAAAAACAGGGGCAGTTCATTCAGTATTTGGGGTAGTTAACTGCATCAACAATTTATTTACTTATTCGTACTTAACAGGTTAAAAAGGCGAACTTAATACCATATGGCATTCTCTTCCAGGCAACCTTTTGAGTATTTAGTTAAATTATTTTCCTCATGATAACGATCACTTAACGTTCTAATTTTGATCTTGAACCCTGAAAGACTTTTCTTTCGTCAATAAATATGTTTACTAAAGGACAGTGCCAATCCATGTATGGAAGTTGGACCAAGTGCTGCCCAGAATAAAACCATAGTGCATTTTGTTCCTTAGGCCAATACTAATTTGTAAACCGAAGCGCACTGAAATCTATCCCTGGAGTTAAGAGAAAAAAAGAGTTTTGTTTTGAATTATTTACATACAAAATATCATCGATGTATACGTACTACGCATAAGATTTCGCGATTGTAGCATTAAATAACACTTGCTAAGTTGAACTCAACCATACTGCATCCATACACCTTACTTTAGTACGACTTCGACATTCTTTATAAGCGATCAAGCGCTGTTGCAGTAGTTTGGTTACTTGACAGAAATTAATTATTTCCAAAATGGAGAAAGAAGTTTTAGCCTACAATAACTTCAATAATCGATTGTAATACACCAATAAATTGTTTTTTGCAAGGATAGAGAACTAAAACTTCTGGCTTCATTTTGGAAATAATGAATTTCTATCAACTTACCAAACAATTAAAACAGCGCTAGATCGTTTATAAAGAAAGCGCTAGATCGTTTATAAAGAATGTCTAAATCGCACTAAAGTGACGTGTACGGATGCAGTATGGTTAAGTTCAACATAGCGAGTGTTATTTTATGCCATAATCGCGAAATCTTATGTGTAGTACGTATACATCGATGATATTTTGTATGTAAATAATTCAAAACAAAACTCTTTTTTTCTCTTAACTCCAGGGACGGATTTCAGTGCGCTTCGGTTTACACATTAGTATAGGCCTGAGGAACAAAATGCACTATGGTTTGATTCTGGGCAACACTTGGTCCAGACCCTGGCATTATCCTTTATTTTTTGAATTTGAGTTAGTTTTTTTAATTTAATTAATTTAGATAAACACAGAAGCTTATGTTTTTAGTTGAAAATTAAATAAAAGCCCATAAAATCTGCCATGAATACTGTTTTTATGTTTAAACCTCAGATTATAACCTTGAAGGTCAAATGTGATTGTCCGAAGTACAAAAATAATCTGTGTTGTTGACCTGTCACCATGACAACACAAAACTGTAAACAAATCTGTTGTCAGAGAGTATTTCAGTGGTAAGTCGTTTTTGATACAAAATTATTAACTAGTTTTTAATTAATTTAATGTGATTTAATTGTAAGTTTTTTTGTAAAGTTTTAGTTAAAGTTTGTGATATACATATTTGTCGTAAGTGCTCTATTCATAAAATGAGTTTTTTAACACATTGTAACAGCTAATTGTACCCAAAAACGCAGCGTGTGACGGCCACCCACAAGGTGGACCGACGACATCATAAAGGTAGCAGGATGGCGCTGGATGCAGGCCACTACCAACCGGGCGAGATGGAATTCATTGGGAGAGGCCTATGTTCAGTGGACGTCCTATCTCTGAAAAGATGATGGTGAACAGCTGATCAAACTGGGCAATCCTCCCATTCGGTGGACCGACGATCTGGTGAAGGTCGCGGGAAGTACCTGGATGCGGGCAGCTCAGGAAATCCAGGAGGCCTTTATCCAGCGGTGGACGTCCTATGGCGGAAATGATGATGATGATGTGATGATGACGAAGAAGCTGATCTTATTTGCACTCACTCGATTATTTTAGATACCCCCCAGATTACAGACTTTTAGTCTGCTGATAGTTTTGTCGTCCAATTTGTATGAAGAATCTGCCGATACCAAATCGGTGTAATGTGCGCACTTCTATACACGTTCATACTGATTAAAAGCCCGACTAAACTATCGACCGACAAAAATTCTGTAAGGGACTTATCCCACCACGCTTTCCCACCGCTGCAACTCCTGTGTAGCCAGGATCTACAGCTTGACCGCCAATAACCCAACCAGTGAAGGTTGATTCCCGGGAGATAGCTGTCTTGGAACTCGCTACGAATTCAATCAGAAATATTATTTAACAAAAAAGTCTGCATGGTATCTTAAACGATTTAAAAAGCAATGAAAGATCTTTGTTTCAGTTGGAATATTAAAGAAAAGCCTCAACCATGCCAGAGTTAGTAGAGCAGATGTACTGCTCCCAGCAGATAGTCATACCGCCGAAATTCCCTTACATCTTGAAGAGGTATTGCAAAGGTAAGGTAGTTTTTCAAAGCCTTTCAGTAAGTACCCTGCTGAGTACGAAAAAAACTATTGGAATCACAAGCACGTAGAGTTTCTTAACATCGTTGATACACTACTGCGTAATTAAGTTATCACTCGGAATGAAATATAACACGAATAAAAGGCAATTAAAGGAGAAGTGTTATAAGTTCGACATGTCTGTCTGTTTATCTAGACCTTCTAAAACACGCTACCTAAGCCATTGACGTTGATAATGTAGTTTCTAAAAGATAATAATTGAGTGGACCGACGACATCGTAAAGGTAGCAGGGATGCGCTGGACGCAGGCCGCTGCCAATCAATCAACATGGAAAGCATTGGGGGAGGCCTATGTTCAGCAGTGGACGTCCTATGGCTGAAATGATGATGATGAATAATTGAGTAATTAATGCCTGCCCTTCTAGCGGGGAGAGCCCCACACAACCCAATCCCCAATCTGAAGCACATCTGAAGTCTTGCTAACGTTTGACGTCACAAAAACACCCTCCCGTGCCGCTCTCACACCTCAGACGCTGACTCAGATTCGCTAGACCTGTAAATTCTATTCCAGCTGCCATCAAGACTCAGCCCTACGACCTCTTGCGGTGGTCATTCGAATACTTCAAGGCCCTCGCTCAACGTCGTCCACCGCCGGTGAAGCTGCGGCTCGAATACCCCGTGTTCAGCACTGAGGGAGGACTGACTAGGGGGTGCCTTAAGGTCTTGGCTAACCAGGTAAGCAGTACCATTCAGCTACAGATGCATGGTATTTCTGAGTTGGTTCCTAAAGCGACTCGTCTCGCGACATAAGCTATTGAGATAGATTACATTATCAGCCCCCCGTATCTTCACATATCATTCCCCTACCGCAGGAATCTAAGTACTCATTATATCCACCTACAAGGTGGAGAGATAACCTTATAAATCCTTTTTAAAGATTGCGAAAAGGCTCTAGGTATATTCAAGCCGTTAACAGGCCAATCTGGATCATTGAAAATGTTAGTGCCTATGTTAACAATGGACGACCTTTGGTTAAAATTATGATAATGATAATGCCTTTTGCCTAAAATAGTAGTGGTAGTCATATTGGTATTCAAGTAAATTATTGTCCTCTTTATTTCAGCTAGCAGGCATGGCAGAGATCCCCTTGCCAGTCCTCAAGCAAGCTTGGGAGGGCTTCTGCCTCGACCCTCAAGAGTTGAGGAGGATTCTGTGCCTCTGTGAGGTTTACTTGAGGAAGGATACAGTACCGTTCTTGCACTTCCTTGCAGTTGCTGGAGGATTGCTGACCAAGGTATTAAAAAGGCTTTTTCGCATTCTTTTCAATCTAAAGACTAGCCTTGACTAGTCAAAGATTGTCCCTAAAGATTTCTAGAACTCTCTCTCTCCCACTCTTCCTTTAAATATCATATTATTTATGAGGCTACTAAGAAACACTATGCAAACATCAGACCTCCTTTACCCGTCCGGCAGCGTGGGGAGCGTAGGGCAAATCCTCCATTTGCGTCTGGTAAATTAAGGATCTGGTAATATGATCTGGTAAAAAGAGGAGGCTTTTATATCATTATAACATTTTGAGCCTCCACTCGACTTCTATTAAACTCCTTGTTCGTTCCAGTGCCTCACACACACCATGATTCTCCTCTGCGAATCCCTGACGAAGGAACCTGATGGTGGTTCCGCCGCCATTCCCGTGAGCGAGTTCCTTGTCATGTACAAGTTCATAGCTAAGATGGACGCTGCGAAAGACGTGCGGTACTTCAATGGGTTTAGAGAGGGTAGGTTGAGTTACTGCATTCAATCCCATACTGATAATATTGTATTGTTATTCTTTGTGACTCGATGCTGAATCCGCTAAACCAATTTTGGTAAAAAACTAACTATAAAAGTCGTGGAAAGTTCCTAGCAGACCTATCAACTTGGTAACTGATCAACACCGTATCGCCTTTCGCGAGCTGTCATCGCCTCGCGCGCTGTCAACCGCGAGGCGAGGCGTTTACGTTACGGTCCGGGTAAGTGGGCGATGCAATATGGAGTTTCATACAGAATACTGACCACCTCGAGTTGATACGGTTACCCTTTCTGGGTTGATAACTGTGCCACGTCATAACAATTTTATTGATGATACCACTATCCACTCCTGTGAGATTGCTAGTGTTTGAAAATAACCCTGTATGTCCATTGTACTATTAATAGTTCCATTTTTTATTTGTTAAATTCAGGAGAAGCTCCAGACCCAGAATCCGTGCCTGAAGAAGAAGAAATACAAGAGCAAGAGGAACTGCACGGAGATGTAAGTTCATATTAACTCCTTTGTGTATACCTCTAGAATTCTCTCTACTTGCAAAATGCCGCGAGCGAACAATAGAAATTAATGACTGATACAGAAAGGTTTTAAATGCTGGTCGGCCGGCCGGCAGGTCGCCAATTTGGTACTACACCCACCAACAAGGTAGACAGACGACCTTCATGCAAGAAGACGCTGGCTGGACGTAGGCCGCTACCAACTTGCCAATCTATAAATTATTAAGAGAGACCTATGTTTAGCAGTGGATAAAATGTGGCTGAAATGATAACGATGATGATTACTGGTAGTGCCTAGAAAAAAATATCAGAAAAATGCCTCAAAGGTAGTAGAAATTAAGTCCTAAGTCCGTTGCCCCCTTCAGACATCCTCCGATGATTACTGGACGGACTCTGGTGACCTTCAGAAGCTCTCCCTCATAAACGACCACGTGGCCAGGACCACGCGGCTCAGTGTGAAGCTCATGATGCCTGCCATGGGAAGAATCGAGAGGTCCCCCTCTATGGAGAGACTAGGGCAGATTGAAAGGGACAACTATCTGATGGAGAGAAAAGGTTACGGGTTTTGAAGAATGTTCGTGTAGTTAGAACTTGAAACGACTTATTACTAAAGCCCGGTCTGTGAGCACGTAGAATTTTGTCCAATGACCCCAAGCTACCCATCCTTATCGCTACGTGCTCACAGACCAGACTATATCATCAATGATTAAATTATTTTCTTCAATGTCAGGTTTTCAGATGCCCTTTGAATATTTATACTGGTAGTAAAGAATTAGAAGTATAACGTAGTTAGTATTTAACTCAGAAAATTAGGATGGAAATCCGTATTACAGAAGTTATTTCAAGATTTTTCAGTATAAAATTGTTTTATGCGTAGTTAGAGTTATAGCAACATGTTGGGTGCCATTTTCAAAATAATTATTATGGAACTTTTTTATTTACTTTGGTAGTCTCTTCTATCATTTCAAAATGAATTTTTTCATTTTCATTGCAGGAAGAGCACGTCCCAGTGAAGAAGTCGATGTTAGTTTTAAAATTAACTCTTTACAATAACGAATTATTAGTTGTAAGAACAATCCCATAAACCATTCTCTAAAATAAAAATTGATGTACAAAAATTGCTTTTTTCGGAAAATATCTTACAGTATACCTAAAAAACAAGGTTTTTTAACAAAAATCTAAGTGATTTTAACAAAAATCTAAGTGAACTTAATTAATTTCAGAGAAAATTACGAGAAATCAGCGCCACACTGATGAGCTCTACAGAAGCGGTGCCAAAACAAGGTTTGTAAACAATACTAACTAATTATACTCATAGTTATTTGTAGTCATCCATCAATCAGTCTTTCAGTCCATACACCACGTTTGTGACACAAAAATACAAATTAGCGCAAGCGTAAGACACTTGGTCGGGAAAAAAGCCAAATCCCAAATTTTTACGCTTCATTGATGTTATCCATAAGGGAAGGAGTCACTTTCTATTCAAGTTCTAGAAATCACTCTGTACGTACTGCTAGCACAAGTTTTGAATGCTTTGAGAGTATGTTATATAAATTTATCACATTATCTCAAATGATTTTACGTGTTCAAAAGATACAAAACAACAGTCCCATAAAATAAAATACTAATATAAAAACCACAACGTTAAAAACGTTCTAAAGCGTTCTAGAACGTTTTTATGACAACTTCACTACTGTTCTATTGTAGTACTATGTAATTAGCTGTAACAGTTAATTTAATTATCAACTTTTTTTCTAAACTACAGACCAGTCTAAAAAAATCGAAGAGAAAGTCGTTGAGAAGAAGAAAGAAGGAATCGAGATTATTGTTCTAGATGAAGACGAAAATGAAATACCGTTCGAGTTTTATGGTTAAACATTTTATATTATTTTGTAAATAGAAACAGTTACCTATTAAGCCAATCAAGTTGTAGTGTTCCTTTGTTCTTTTGGTGCTTCTTTACATCTGGTCACGTCTTAAATGTTAGTTATAAAAGCCCAAACAACAATTATTATTGTGTGTAGTTTGATTGAGAAACTGCTAGAAGATTCTGGTATTTTTTCTGCCAAACACTAGGATTTGAGCCTTTTATAAGCAAGACTTTACCACCCTAGACTGCATCTAGACAAAATGACTGATGAATGATTATGATCAACTAACTATTCAAATATAATTAAGATAACAAAAGAAGTTTATAAAACTGCCCTATCAGATAACGACATTCCCCATGATGTAGAATTTATCAATAACGCTCTAGCATTACTACTAAAAACTACACACAAATTATTCGTAGGTGAACCAAAAGAAGTGGTAATAGATGAAGAGCTGGGAGAAGAAGAACTTCCTCCAGCAGATGATCAGGTCGAGGAGCAGCAGAAAGAGGAACAAGTGGAAGTGGCTGTGAACATAGCTGAATATGTCGCAGAAGTAACTTTCGTTTTCAAACCACTATTAGAATTAGAACAAAAGGGGATTATGATAGTGTTAAGAAATTTACAAAAAAAAACAGTCTGTATTAGGTCATAATAGGCTTTAACATGTCCCAGACACTTTCCGTTACAGTGTACTGATTTATAGCAGTCATAACAAAAACTATTTTATTGTGTCTGGGTTACTATCCAGGAAAGTGTTAAATTCATGACATGACATTCATGACATTAAATGGGCCAGTGCTGATATAGTCTAAGATCCCGCTATACAACGACCTTCACCGAGATGCTTATTTGATGAAACATATTTTATATTCAAGTTAACATGTCAATAATTATATTGCTTAAGGGTTGCCTAATAAATTTCAGTCCAGGATTATGATTAATTAAACATTAAAAAAAGTTTTATTTTTAAANCGCGCGTCACTAGCGGTCGCTTTTTAACGCTGGAACACTTTGAACTTCTTGACAACAGTACTGAGGAACTCCTGCTCTGCTGCCCTTGTGTATACAGACTCTCTCTTACCTTCAAACCAGCCCGGGTCCTGCGCGCGCTCACTGAGCATGGTGCGCGCGTCACTAGCAGCCGCGANTAGTTCGAAGATACCAAAACTTCTGCATGCTTAAATAATAGTTTCATAAATTGTGTGCATTAAATTATGAAGCTACGAAAAATCATATTATTTCATTTAAATTACCATAATTGATTAAAAATATGTGAAGAAATGGTATATCACATATCAAATACCATAAAACATTAAATATTTAAGCTGAATTATCAATTTACCCTTGCTTAATACCTTACCTGGGTGTTCCGTTACGACCTATGAAAACCTATAAAACTATGTAAATTGTCATTTATTACCTTGGTTTTGTAGTTTTGTAAAATAAAAATAGACTTACGTCCTGAGTAACTTGCCTAGGACGAATATTTGAGGGGTGTAAAGGTCTTTTTATTGTAATTTTGAGGGCGTAAAGGAAATCTATCTCAGTAAATACAGCCCTAGTCCAGTTTTTCAATACTTCCTCGGAAAATGCTGTGAATTCTAAGCACTTTCTTCCTAGGTCATATTTTAATAGCTCAATAAACAAAAAAGTTACTGTCGAATAAAAAAATAAAAAATCGTTTTTTGCTTCTCCTGAAAAGTCGTACTTTGTCCTTTACGACCTTTGAGCCCAGAGGTATCGATTTGGGAAACTCGAGTTGTATAGACCGATTAAGTAGTTTGCTAAGGAGTATCGTTTGGAAAAACAACATTTTCCAGTGTTGCCATACTTTGAAAGATTTGGTCAAAACATGTAAAAAATGGAAATAACGACTTTTGGTCCAAAATTTGGATGACGCCTCCAGCAATAAGTATGGCAACACTGGAAAATGTTGTTTTTCCAAACGATACTCCTTAGCAAACTACGTAATCGCTCTATACAACTCGAGTTTCCCAAATGTTGCCAACTGCCCAAAAAATGCATTTGAAAAATCAGAAATTTGAAACTTTTCACAAAATGGCCGCTCACTCGGTCGCCATCTTGATTTTCTGAATTTTCGGATTTTTCCCATAATTTGGGTCGTATAACCGACCAAACCCCATTTTTGGATTTTTTCTGCCATATCTCCTTCTGTCCGTCCTTAACTTTAAAGACACCCATGTCGAAAAAAAATACTTTTCCCCATAGCTGCAAGTGTTGCCAGGTGATCGAGATGAAAATGGTCAAATGTCATTTGTACGACCCTTTTGCAGGAGGCGTCATCCAAATTTTTGACCGGAAGTCGTTATTTCCACTTTCGACATTTTTGGACCAAATCTCCGAAAGCATGGCAACACTGGAGAAATTTCTTCACCCAAGCGACACCTCTTGACAAGACACACAAACGCCTCATACAACTCGTCTTTCCCAAATGTTGCCAACTACTCGAAAAATGTCACCTTTCAGTTTTAATTTCACTTTACAAAATTCGACAACCGTCATTCAGGACTGATTTTTCGCAGGCAACCCTATACCACCGTGTTCATAATGAAATAATCTTTATTTTCATTTATATTTGATTAAATTATCAGACCGATGCAAAATGCTCTATCAATTTACCTGTTTATACCTGGCAACCCGAGAGTTATGACTGGAAAAGAATAGGCAACCTAACGTTTGCATATTCTATGGGCTTCATACTTTCGATTGGTATGGAGTTTGTTTAATAATCAAACCGATGAAATATTTAAAAATAAAACTTTTTTTAATGATTAATTAATCATATCCTGGACTGAAATTTATTAGGCAACCCTTAAGCAATATAATTATTGACATGTTAAATTGAATATAAAATATGTTTCATCAAATAAGCATCTCGGTGAAGGTCGTTGTATAGCGGGATCTTATACTAATAAGAAGCAGCGCAAGAAACTCGGCCATTATTATCAACCTATTTTTGTTTTTCAAAGGTAGAAAAAAGTTTTTAAACTGTCAGTTGAAAGTTAAGTAATCTACTAAGCAACTGGGTTCAACACATCACGATTTATTGAAGTTTTCTTTAGTTTCTGGTGCCTCTATTACCCTTGGTCTCACTAAATGTCCTGGGTCCATGGGTATTTTTTAACCCGTAGGCCCCTTTTTACCGTGGTCCCATTGTTATGGCCCACAGTGGGTCCTGACTCCTGAACCTTTTAGATCCTTTCCATCATCATCCTTATCCTTAATCCAATCCTTCTCCCTAGGCATATGCTGCAAGAATGGATCGTCTTGAAGACCTGGAACAAACAATAGATGAAATAGCAGCCATTGTCAATAGATTCAAATCTGCTAATTATGACCTTGGTAAGACGATAAGGGCAAATTTTCTAAAGATGAGGTATGGGTGAAGATTGAGGTATGAATCTGTTGAAGTATAAAGCTCTGAAAAAAGGTTTTAGTGAAGTGCTCAAGTAAATTAATTTATAGTGTTTAGTTTTGTTTTAAGGTAGAAAAATTCCAAATTAATAATCTAATAGACAAATTGATGTAGTTGTCTACCTCCATCGTGAACTACTTATGAATTAAATAAAACAATGAGTCATTTTTGAGTGGGATCCACTGTAATGGAGACTGTGGTGTGAGAGAAATTCGATGCTGACGTGGACCGATATCGATACTTTTCGAGTAACCATCAGCGATATCGAATAGTTTATTGGTCAGAAAAGAGGCAGTGTAATTTAATCCACTGCAGCACTTTTAAGATAGTCTTACAAACCACAAACTCCATGTTTACAGGAATGGTAGCCGGTCGGCAGATGTCCACCACTAGCGGAGAGTTCATCGTCCAGCACATCGAGAAGGAGATCATGGCGTACATCGACGAACAGATCGCTATCCTGCCGGACCCTGACTTGAAGAAGAAGAAGGTAAGATTACAGAAGTACTTAACGACGAATTAGCATAAAGTAAAAACTGGTTAATTAAAGGATGTAGCACATTTATCAACCTGGAAAGGGATCGTGACCGTATCAACTCGAGGCGGTTAGTACCTATACTTTGTATGAAACTAGATACTGCAACGCACACTTATAGGGCAGTAGAATTAAACACAAAAATGAATTAAATCGGAAATAATTCCTACTAAAGATTTAAGTGCTTTAATGGCTTCATTGGTCGCCCATAAAGACTCTCCTAGGTTTTCGACTTCGACGGAGTTGTGCTTAAGTGGTGGGGGCCCCCGAAAGGGGCGCTTTTTCGGTTTTCCGGTTATACCTATCGAAAAGTGGTCTTCCTGACGGTTGAAGGGCATTTAATCCTGCATTAAATAAGACCAAATTCATATGTTTTGAACAAACCGTTCTCGTGCAAATGTTCGGCAAAGTAGAAAATATGTGTATAATTAATGACCCTTGCAACGCCGCTTGCTCAGACGATGCAGTGCTTGTGAATGGTAGGTCAGTCTTTGAACTGACAATCACCTTCGATATTTTAAAAAGTCTGCTTCGCTGCGTTGTTTCTCTGTTATCGCAACGCTTCACAACTCCTGGCCTGGACTCCAGGGAGTCCTAATGTAAAGTAACAGGTTACTTTACATTAGTTTACATATACCTACACATAGTTGGAGAAACCTGAACAAGTTTTATTGTTTCAGGCCAAGCCAGAAGAAGTGGAAATGATCAAGCAGATGTTGGAGACGTTCCTCGACGAGAACATGGACATCATCGTGCCAGAGGTCGAGGAAGTGGAAGAGGAGGAACAACCTATCCCAGAGGTATAGTGCCTGCGCATCAAACAGGACTATTGCTATGACTTTAGCATCTTATAAAAGTAATAAGTGTTTTTGCCATTGTCCACCGAGCCGAGGTAGTACATGTCACCTATTTAGTGCCAACCACCACCTCGGCGGGGAGCTCGAAAGGGGCAGATGGGAATATAAACGCCACCTATTTAGTGCCAACCACCTGGTGAAAAGCTCAAAGGGGGCAGATGGAAATGAAGGACTATGGACAAAATCATTTGCAGTACCTAATCCTAAAAATAGTTCTTTGAGTAGTTTTACCACCGAAAAATAAAATTATTCGTTCTGCCAGTAGAACTTAGCAGTAGGACCACTATTTGATTTGATTTTACACTATCATAGTGATTTTCAACCGACTTCAAAAAAGGAGGAGGTTCTCAATTCGACCCGTATGTTTTTTTTTTTCTATGTTTGTTACGCGATAACTCCGCCAATTATGAACCGATTTGAACAAATTTTTTTTCGGCGTATAAGGTAAGTGCCCCCTACTTCGGTATATTAAGGCTCTTACGACTTTAACAATTTATTTAAAAATAACCAAGCATGATATCAGTATGAAAGCTTTTGTATGCTAAACTTTGGTCTTTTGACAGTAACTTAATACATAAATTATAGTTATATTGTTTGAACTTTTTTTAATATTAATTGTTCTGCGGACCTCTTGTTTGGATCCTGTTTCGTGATAAAATTTTGCTCTGTTTCTAAGCTCGTGAACTCATGTCCCCTATTTCGGGATAAAGTTTAGCGCATCGAGTTAGGATATTTTAATAATGATTAAGGGTTTAATAAATTCAAAAACGATAGTATAAATTTAGAATAAAAGAATTCTGTGAAATTGACGATATTATTTACCTACCTGAAATATTCATAAGAAATTATGTGAGTCTGTCTAGCTAGGTAGGTACGTACCTTCGTATAAAATTTTGATTTATTATTCTAATAATACGTGAAAATATTTATACAGGGTGTTAGGTAAATGGGTATATGAGCCGACACTAGCCCATGTTAACATGGGCATATAAATGGTATGGTGAAGTCAGAAATTTGATATTGTTTGTTACGCGATAACTCCGCCAATTATGAACCGATTTGAACAAATCTTTTTTCGGCGTTTAGGTAATACCTCAAGGGTGGTCCCATTTAAATTTAATAATAGAAAAAACAACCCCCAAGGGTGGAAAATTGGGGATGAACTTTTTTATACGCAATATCTCCGCTGATTATTAATCAATTTGAACGATTATTTTTTTGTTGAATAGGTATTATCAAAAGGGTGGTTTCATGCGAATTTGAAGAAAATATTTCACCCCCAAGGGTGGAAAATTGGGGATGAACTATTTTATACGCAATATTTTTAATTTTTAGTTTTTTTTTTGTGTTCACGCATTTGAAGTAGGTTTTATTTTTTAAAAAAGTTAATTATAACACTTTATCTTTCAGATAACAATAGTATATGCTGTGCCTGGAATTGGTCCTCCTGTGGATCTGGACATCATCTCGGAGTTCCAGGACTATGCCCTGGACGTGTGCAAGGTGCAAGCCGACTTGTTCATGCCGAGGAACATCAGGCACTTCTTATGCCCACCGCTGGAGAAGTAAGTCATAGAGATTACGCAGTTTTCTTCTTCTTTTTGTTGATGGCGATAAACTTGTGTTGTTTCGCCATTGTGGGCAGACTATTCGTCTATATAAGCCAATGTCACGTAATGGGGCCGCCAGTAGTGTAGTTCACACCCTAACAGGAGAAAATAATGGGCTATCATCTCAGATCAGACGCTTGAACATTTTCGTTTCATCTTACAAACCAAGTCTTGTTCTTGTCGTGTAGACTACAAACTTATGCAGTGTCAGCCCAAAGCTCCGCTACAAGAGTGGCGTTGTCAGTAGCATTCATTAAATCTTCCTGCGTGCAGTTGTTTGGGCACGCAGGGCATAACATCACGGCATCACGGCATTACAAACCACTTTTGACCCTTTATTTCTTTTTAATTTATTCACACAAGTGTTTACTAAAAAGACCCAATAACCCCTCTTGTAGGTTGAATTTCATTGGCTGTAATGTAAAGCTGTAGATCATGGCTACACATTGTGAACGAGAGATGGGAAAAAGTCATACAGAACTATTACAATATTAACGGAGTTGCGTTCGAAGGAGTCTTGCAGAATTTTCGCATTTGATATACTACAATTTAATATTTTGTTTTCAGATACGATGAACACAAATACGAATTGACTCCGCCTCACACTCCAAAGAAGGAACAGAAAGTGCCCACTGGAGGAACTATCACAGATTGATCATCACTACTAGATGGCAGCACTTCCAACCTCATCTGTCAAAATGACGATGTTTTATACTACCCTCAATTTGTTCAGTCACGCTTTGTTCGTCTTTAATGCACTGTTAATTAGTTAATTTATTGAAAATAAAATATTGTTGTTGTAATTTGAATTATTTTCTTTACTCTGATGTTGGCAAAAGCTAACCACGTTTATTCAAGATAGTTCTTAGCTATAATTTATAAAGATCCATTCAGTCATTTGAAGATCAGCTCTTTTCTAGCTAATGAGAGGATGTGAGTTTACTACTAGGTTTTCTTGGCTTGAAGATTTTTGTATGTTTTATTTCACTGTTAATAGTGTGCGTAGACCAAATTCTCCTTTTACTGGTAGATTGATAGAGGGATCCTGTAGTGAAGACTAAATGACCTGATGATGATGATAAGCGAGTTATTTCAAGAGGGATAAAGGATGAGGACAAGAAAGGTTCTCTTCTGGACATTCCCTCAATAAAACATCTAAAACTTTACATCCTTTTTATTTTAATATATGGAATAGTAAATCAAATCGTCCCACGTTTGTCGCCGACCTATCACCAAGACTCGTTGGCTGCCTGACTATCCCCGTCTCTATCTGGCTAGTTCACTTCTGTATCTTTCTCTCTCTGATGTTTTTTCGGGTACTTTTTGTCTGACCTAAGCAGTACCTATGATTATGATTTGCTAAATTGTTGCTATTTTTGAAACATCCAATGCAATGCATGCATTGCTATATTCAATTCCTTTTTATGGACATGCATGATCAAATTGTTATTGAAACTGACACTGCAGATAAATGATCTGGCAACTGAAATATAGTCCCAAAGTCAAAAATTATGAGATTATCAGCATGATGCTGAAGGCTACGTTAAGTTTGTAACAACAAGCAAATAACAGGCAATTAGAGACGATGACACATGGTACTAAATTGTCATAGGTGCTATTATTTTGCAACGACTATCTGATGTGAATTTATGGCATTTCCCCAATTTCGAATTGCAAACTCCATAAATTACTCTAATTGCTATCAAATGCCTTTCAACAACTTCAAATTCATTGTGAACATTTTGAAATATTGCTAGACATATTTGAATCTCACCAAATCTGACTAAAATGAAAAGAAATAAAGCATAGACAAAGATTTTGGAACCAGCAGATGAGACGAGGACGATCGCACTTTGAGCATATTTATACCACTCGTAACGTTTCCCAAGTTCTAGATTACCATACCATAGACAAAATGTTGGCATCTAAGCAAAACAAATTTAAAGCATTTTCACGCGGTCCCCAAACGAGAGTCAGCCGCCATTTTATGTTACTATCCTGTTTTAGCGCCATCTACTGTTATTAACGTAAAAACTTCATCAAAATTTAAGTCATTTGGTTCTAATTCACTTTGATTGTACCTATTGCAAATAATTACGTGTATGGAAATAATATTAACAACGTTTGATGCAAAAATGACGACAACGCTGGCTTAGGAACCGCACACGCCTTATCCTCCCCAAAAACTTCCCTACAAACTTTTTTATGACAGCGAAAAAAAATGAAACACACTTTTCGCTTCTCATATTTTGGATTTAACTTCGGGTAGCTAAATTCTATATACACAATAATAAATAATCGCACAGACATTTTTTTATCAATTTCCGAGAAACAATATCTTAAATAGAAAAGCAGTCAACGCAAAATCTTTACAAGCTCACTAAAATAACAATAATAATAAAGACCAAGTGTTTTCCTTTGTTCAAAATGTACATATAATAATATACTTACAGGCGTAAATAATCATAATTCACAAATCGACCTCCTCCGAGGAAACGACAGGTTTTTACACTAAGGGTTGGGAACTGTCTTATTCTGATTCACCTTTCTGTCCGTTGGAAATTCCCAAAAAATAGGAAAATTTTAGCTGTGATAAATCTGCTTGTGTGAAATCTAATTCATTACAATAAAAATATGGAAGTCCAAAGATAACTCAGAATAAGTGACTGACATCTATCTTATGAGTGCACTGGACTCTACATTCAATATTGTTGTATTCAGGTATATTACTTGACTTAAATCTGTCATAATAACCGTGGAACTTTCCAAAAAACAAATCTCTGAAAGTCTCAATTCTCACAAAGAGACCTATGACGAATAAATTACTGAAACAAAACCTGTTGATAGCCTTTTTTATACTACCAATGAAGAAAGTAGCAAATTGGCTAATATACAAGCAACTACGAGTGTCTTAGAAACTGGAAGATCAGATGATATTCTGGTAGACATAGTAGTCCAGCACACTAATAGTATAGATGTCAATGAAGGTATTTTGGTAATAACAGAACGTCATCTATCAAAAATTCTTAATAACATTGGAAGAAGTAGGAACGGATTCACAAAAGCTGGACATTGTGCCATTTAAATGCCAAGTTTCTGGAATATCAGAAAAAAGTCTGCTGTATTAATAAATCTATTTATTATCTTCTATGTAACCCTTAGTTCAAATCATATAACAAAATCTGTCGAATCCATATTAACACTAATATACAAATAAACATAATAGGCAAATGCGCTCTATACAACAATAAACTAGAACGAAACCGTGATAACGATCTCATATTTTCCATGAGTTCACTTATACATTAAATGCAAAGCAAAAAACTGTATCTATGTGTGTTTTTATCTTACAAATTGTCGTCAGAATCGGTGTCGTCGATTTCTTACTTCCTTATTGTACCCATAACCTTCCCGCGCCCAATAACGTCTACTTTACTGTAAAATTAACGTAATGATAATCTTTGCCTTGGTTCTTGACGTAGTCTTAATGAATCAAAATTAAAAAAAATGAAAAATCTCTTCGCTAAAAATTTTCATGTCCAACTTTTTTAAATCCCTTCCAAAATTGTAGTATTTCCGAAGTAACAAGGACGAAGCGTTCCGCATTAGACTTAACATTAAGAGGAAATGCTAACACTTAAAATAACACGTCGTATAAACTTAGGCATTACTTAACAAGTAAATCTTATTACCAGGTATTACGGTACATATTAGAAGACTTAAATTTCAGTGTTGGGAGACAAGATCCAAACAAATGGGCAATTGTAATCCAGACGTAAAAATGGTGGATTGCAATATACCAAAGTTTAGGCTTTCTATGAAAATTTATTAGGTGAATAGGCTAAGAATGCCTCTTAAAAAGCATGAATCAATAGTTAAAAGATTAGTAAACGAGCTTCCTGAATAAAAAAAACAATTACTCGATTGGAGTAAATACTATCCACCATTTCAATATCTCAATACAATAAATATTAACAAATTTAGACACAATATAACACAAACTAGGAAGCATGGGATAGAAAACCATTGGATTCATCACATTATAGCCTACAATCAAATCACTACAGTCAAATCGAACATAATTTACTATTACCATACCAAAAGACCTTTACCAAGACAATATGGGAAGCATAAATAACAATGGAATAAGAATATTCGTGACATCGTCATAAAAATTATAATCAAAGTTTTTGACACGATATGCCACGAACAAAATATCAAATTTTTTGTTTATTAAAGTTGTTATGCCATTCCAACTACCGTCGTCGTGTAAATCTAAACTCCCTATCTGGACTCACGTTTTCGTTGAACTTTATCAAAATCTTTTACATTTTATCTGAAGCCTTCGTTCAGGCGAGAATATGGTTGCGAAGCATTCCAACCAGCAAATGTTAAACTAATTCTATCTAAAATTCATCAACTAGCATTTTATACAAATTCGGCACATTTGCAGCTGTCAAGCCAAAACTAACGCAACTTATTTGTGGTGATGTCTAATTTAAATTATTGATTCTCAAAAGCCAAATCAACAAAACAGAGAGAAAGAGAGAATCCCTGACATAAGTACCAATTACCAATTTTATTCAATATCCTTGCAATGATTTACTTACATTTGATTATCTTGATACCAAGAAAATAAACTTTATTAGTTAATCTATTCAATTTGTATTTCAATGTTTCTAGTTTAGTAATATGACATCGTCCAGATAAATCAAATAAATAATTGATGTCGATAACTTGAACCTCAGTTATAGGTTTCATCGATTTCTATATCAATTCAAACTCCTAAAAGATAATAATTGTCGTAAAAAATTCCATAAATACAATGAACATCAGAATGCTATTCAATTTTTTGTTGAAACATAAATCTGATAGTAACCACAACAAAGATCTAACTTAAAACCTTATTATTGGTAATATTGGTACAATCAAAATTATGTTGATAGACGTAATTTCTAAAATCTAAATCTTATTTAGTATTTTAGGAAGAAAATTTGCCATTGAGCTTATGTTTCAAAAGTGTAATTCTAATTTTTAATTTAAACATTAATAAAGAAATTAATCAGTCAACATAGTCTTTTGGTGGAAGTTAAATCAATATTATTTGCAATATTATGAAATTCAATAACTTCATAGTTCAAAGCTTTATGTTAACGTTTTGAAAAATAATGATGTAATGTTTGCAACTTAGTAAGACTTTGAAAAGAATTTCAAATAAAATGTTGAGCAAGCATAGGATTTCCTTATCAGACATTCCTAGTGCACCAAGCGCGTTAAAAAGACTGCAAAGGTATAAATTTACGTAATATGTTTCATAACAACCTTTACAAAATTTTCATCACCACCTCTTACTATAACTAGAGGTACATTTTCGTCGTATTGTAAAAGTTTCATTTTACCATCGACTCTTTTAATGTTGCGTTAGGATACTTGTACGCCTACATTTCAAATTTCAGAATGATCGGGACAAAAAATTGTTAAAACTACAATCCTAGCCGCTATCAAACCGCTCACTCCACTTTTCTATACTTTAATTATTATTTTCATTAAATAATTTTACTAATAACCGTTTGTTTAACAATTTTAAATGGAATTTTGTTTATATTTTACATGGGTGCCTATATTATGTCGAATAGTTTAATAGTTTACTCTTGACTAGTATTAGCTAACTGTTTGAGCCTTCACACCTAATCAATGCGTCAATAAGATGTTCAGGAATAAATATTATAAATAAATTGAACTTTGGTTTAGAACCTGTAGTTGTAGGGTGATTTATTTTTGGTGTTTTTGTTACAGACATTTTTGTGTATGAATTCCTGCGCGTTATTTTAGATCTAATGGTTTTTTTTATTTTAATATGTCATATACCTTAATTTTATACTTTCATATGCCATTGAATTTAAGCGTTGCAAGCAATCGTGAAGTATACGCATTATTATGATCATATTAACCTATTTCTATATTAATAGGAAGTCATTTGCGCGACTGACTGAACATCTTCAAGTAATCATCGTATCGCTTGCACCGTTTAATTTCAATCTTACAATCGAACAGCGTAATGGTTGATGCTTTACAAAATACTCGACAATCTGCCTATGATCAATATTTGATACAAAACAACGTCTAAAATCGACGATGTTGAAAACAAACTCGTCAGAAGTGGCAACAGAAACATCTATTTATTTAACTAGTCGAATATATTAACTGGTGTTTCTCGAATAGCATTTATAACTATTGTACAATTATTACTAGGCGATAACAGAGTTTTGAACATTATTTTTTTAGATAATCATTGAGCTGTAATATAGGTACAAAATTATCTGGAATTACTATTACTTATTTAACAATTAGTAACAGAACTATCTTAACGGCCTAGCGCTCGGGAAGAGTAAATGATTTTATGCGATGTAAAATCACTAAGGCAACTGTTATATTCACATCATTCAATTACAGTTTGAGAATCATTACACGATATCTACCTTTATTTGCAAATGATTTCATTGAAAGTGTCGTGAGAGGTTCAATAAAGATTGGACATTTGCTAGATGTTTCTATTTATTAGTCCCATAAACCAATCTAATTTGAGCCTTTGATTTGGTGCTTCAAATTTAAAGACAGATGTCAATAGATAAACGTTCACTGCAATGAAATCTTTTCCAAAGATTACTGTAACTGAATGATGATAAAAAATTCAAACGCGCCATTTTACTAATCTAAAACATCGTCAATTTCTACACCGCACAGAACCACTATTATAGAGGAAGCAAAAAACAACAGCCCCGTAAGCTTATTATTGAAGAGAAAGTATTCCTATACATTATTTGCCGTTGTGATCCTTAACAATAACTTCTATTGGTGTCAAAGTTCCTTGCCGCCATTTCGAAAGGTGATGAAAAAAAGTTTCAACGTCAAAAGAGGTTTTAATGTTAGCGAGTTTGGAAGCAATGCTAACTTTTTAGTTTGATGGGGGCGCTGTAGTCATGGTTTATCATAAAAGCGCGCATCAGGCTATGGCGAGAAGGCGTGCTGCCCGCGTTAAGAACTCGAGGATGTAACGCCAGATGTTGCGGAGTGCGTTCGAGCGTGAGAATAGAAATCTCCATAGGAAGAATACGGTGGCCATTTGAGTTAGAACGTGGACTATGTGTAATCTGAAACAAAAATACAACTTGATAAGTAAGTTGCCTCATCATAAAAAATTCAGGACCAACTTCTTGCTAAGGCACTTATCCTCACACTGCTAAAGATGAGGATCTCTTGGTGACCACTATAGTCTTTTTCACCTAAGATGATCCGTATGACGTTTCGAGTTTGAAAGATTTAGAGATGTCACATAACTAAACCATAGCGATTTATCTATAGATTTTTTTCGAAGAGGTAGTGAAACCTACTTTTAGAGAAATATTTTGTATAGGACACAGGTGTTATTTAACAAAAAACATGTTTTTTTTTAATTACAAATATTATTGTAACATTTTTTTATTGATAATATTCAAATTTCATGGTTCGTGTTAAAAAAAAAGTACTGGTTCTGTTTCTTTAAATTAAAAACTATTAATTTATTTTCAATGCGTTTATTAAAGTCAATAATCGAAAAATATAGTTGATTTTTGTGATGTTTTTAATAACTAAGTATTCACTGCAATCGATTAATGAACCGCGGAAATAATCGATTTTATTAAACAAGAATTACCCCAGCACTAAATCTATTCCGTTTCACACATTGCGTACATTAAATAAAAAATATTTTTACATCGTATTTAATTTAAATATAATCAATAGACTCAGATTTTACTATATATTTCAAGACAAGTAGTTAATTTTTTTTTATTATATTCCTAATAAAATACAAATTTTTTTTCAAAAATATTCTGCATAATATGTAGTATGCGTAATATGGATAACCTTGAAGTGTCATACGGATCATCTTACGTGAAAAAGACTATAAACTACTAAGCAGTCTCAATACTCAGCTTGAACTAGTGAAGAGAGTCATTCAACCAAAAATCATCTATTAGGAAACGTATCTACGTCTTCTAGACGTTTCTTGAGTAACAAAATAGTTGATAGTTAGTTGCTTTCTCCCCTATCCGACAATGGGACAGGTGTCTACATCATAATATAGGAATTTATCCATAATGAATTTGCATAACCTTGGCCACAACAATAACATCATCGATATACACTCCAAAAAGGCCAAATCCTCTATTTGTTACAAAATTAGAAGGCCATGCTCTTGCAATAGCGTTTAAATATCCAAATGATGATGATATCAAACTCACCTTCTTAGAATCGCGCGCGATTTAGGCAGCGTGTCCGGGCTCTCTTTGAACAAGAACCTGCGAATACCCAGAACGTAGGACTCAATGTACGCGTCCCAGTCGATATTGCGAACGTTGAAGTCGAATGTTCTTCTGTCGGACGGCGAGAGCGCTGCGCAGAGCGCTTGCACATTGTCGTCGGCGAACGACCATTGGCGAGTTGTAAAATACTCGAGGCAAGCTGCGGCCTTTTCAAGCTTGTTTTGGACTCGGATCATCCTGGAAAGCAAAAGATTTCATAAAAAAATTGCTAATGACTGCTTCATCACTTTTTGTTAAATGTCGGTGTAGTTTGGACGAAAGAAGTTATAGAAATAAAACGGCGCTTTAGTTAAAATGGTCTTAAACTTCAGAGAATCAAGCTAGCGACTATGGTATGTTGTTGTATTACGACAGTTAGAGGTAAAATAGCCAGTTTCCTCTGTGAGAGGTAACATAACAGCTTCCTTCCTTACTTTCCATCAGATGATAGAAAAAGATCGAAAAGTTTGGAAGCCCGTAAGGTCCGGTTTCCACCAAGGCGGAGCGGAGCGAAGATTTTTGGAAAATGAAATCTGATTGGTTGTTCAAAACATTTCTCCGCTCCTTTCCACCTTGGTGAAAAACCGGGCCTTAGTGGATAAAAAAAAAAACAAGTATATTTACATAGGTTTGCTTCCCGAAGCCTTCGCCACCAGATCCATGACGACAGCGGGCGCGCGGTGCTGCAGCAGCGATAGAGTGCTGTGTTTGAGGCGGTTGTTGGTGATATCGCCGCCTGGATACCATACCACTTCACCTGGAAAACAAAACACGTACCGTTATTATACGGTGATAGACGATACTTGACCTTCACTGGTTGGGTTTTTTTATGGCGGTCAAGCTGTAGATCCTTGCTATACAGGAGTTGCAGCGGTGGGAACGAGAGGTGGGAATAGTCCCGTTTTCTAGTGCCGCTATCAACCTTCTTACAATTCTATCTGCTTTTAAACGAACTCATTCTCTTTTTGAGTATTTTTGAGGCCACAATAGTGACCGATTCGAAATCCGAGAAACACCAGGTCAAACCCGTCGACTGGAGTATTGTGAACCCACTACTACTAACACCATAGGAGTTGGAGAGGTTACGGGAATGTTAATAATTCACTTTCTATTTAAAAAAATACCCTTTTTAAAAATTAAAAAACAAGGACAGGAGTCCCACCAGTCTTTGCGTTCCCGAACTCATTCATGTAATGTAATTCAAGGTAGGAATGAACAGTAATTTTCGGGACAGACTCGCTCCACCGTAGATCTCATTTTATTTATTATTACTATAATTATCTTGCTGTTTTACAACCAAAATTTATAGTCTGTTGTACTGTCAACTGTAAATATAAATAACAACTCACTAAACGGATGTTTCCGCATATATTTGAAGCTGGTCTTCACGAACCGCTGCCACGTGATGGGGTTCTGCTGGCCGGTACAGCAGTTGTACACTACCACGCCTTCGCCTCTGTAACAAGAATAACAGTTAGATGAAATTCAAACACAGTTCTATGTATAGATGTGGATAAAGGTCGTATACGAAACGACGCGTGACGTCGAACAACTTAATAGGCGGTTCGTAAAATCTAAATCTAGGTTATAATTGGCTATTAGTGATACTGTATCTATATTAAGAAAAAGATAAGAGAAAATTTCTGTAGTAAACTACAGAAATTTGGCTTAAGAGCCAAATGAAATCAGATTATCGTCGACGATGCTAAAGCCTGCATGTCATAAAGTTTAAGGAATCCCACAAGGTAGTATTTTCAGACACATCTTTGATCCACTCCTATCTATTGCTGCTCAATAAATTCTCGCTCCTATTGGCTCTGGATTTACAATCTCAAATGCGTTCCCCCAGTCTTTGATCCATTCGTGTCTGATCTGACTTCTTTGCTACTCTAAACTAGCTCTTATTACTGTAGACTTACCGCCTCAAATGCGTCCGCCACGCGCACACGATCATCAGGTTGATGATGACGGTGTACTAGTATTACCGTCTCTAATGATTCACATTTCTGCAGCTATAGATACTCTTGGTCTACTCGTATCCATTGCTACTCAATTCTCGCCCTTATGGCTCTGGACTTACCCTTCCCTCAGTCTTTGTTCCATTCGTGTCTGATCTGACTTCTTTGCTACTCTAAACTAGCTCTTATTACTGTAGACTTACCGCCTCAAATGCGTCCGCCACGCGCACACGATCATCAGGTTGATGACGGTGTCCAACAGCACCAGGTCTACTGTCTTGTTGTTTCATCTGTAGCTAGTAGCTACTGCACCACCAGTAGAAGTCTTTCATCCATCTATCTATTTTCCCCTTCAAATTCTATCTGTAGATATAAGTAACTTTGGTCTCCTCGTATCTATCTCTACTGTCTCACTTTGCAAATGCGTCTTCTGCATCTATAGGAATCTTTGATCCACTGTCTTACCGACTCAATTTGTTGTTATACTCTTTACTCCACTCGTTGCTTCCACGCAGGCTAGACACTTGCTACTCAATTCTCGCTCCTATGGCTCTAGACTTACCGCCTCAAATGCGTCCGCCACGCGCACACGATCATCAGGTTGATGACGGTGTCCACGGGCACGAGGTCGGCGACGCGTGCGCCTGTCCCGAGCATCGTGCGGAATATGCCCTTGCCGACCGCCGCGATGATCCCGTTGGGACCGTTCCAGTTGTCCACCCATCCTTTCACCGGCTCTCGCAGAGATGAGAGTACTGTGGAGGGAAGATAATAATATGGATGAAGAAGGAAATCTAAAGGTCTGACTGTCATAGTGATCTATCAACGCACAGCCCAAACCACTGGACGGTTCGGGCTGAAATTTTACATGCAGGTAGATGTTATGACGTAGGCATCCGCTAAAAAAGGATTTTACGAAACTCCACCCCTAAGGGGGTAAAACGGGATCCACGCGTACGAAGTCGCGGGTGGCCGTTAGTAAAACCATAAGGCCGCTTGTACACGCTAGGAAAAGTCGCCCGGCCTATGCAAGAATTCGTGTAGTTTCTACACACGAACCGTACACTGCTACGGTTCTGACCAAGAAATAATTCTTGTCGATTGGATAAAGACTTCTTCCAAGGATTCCACAACGCCGATTCTACGCTGCCCGGATCCAGGTGCTTCCCGCGACCTTCGCCAGATCATCGGTTCAAATAGTGGTAGAGAAGACTCAAGGTCAACACGGTAGTAAAAATATTATGGCCTTGAAAGTATTGCATATCTAATTACCTATCTATCTATATAACATGGAAAAAGATAGAGATTATCCAAGATAAGACTTACCTATCTATCAGATTTGTAATAAAATCGACAAAGTATTTTACAACTTGAACGACAAATCACGCCCGGTTTGCGATTTTCTCCTATCAGTGATGAATGACAGTGGTTATCTTACTGAAAGTTCTTAATCTGACGCAAGTAGATACAGAAACATTCTTGACAGGTTTTTTATCTATACAATACATGAAATCAGATCCTCAGGAAAACTAAGGTAACTGGCATAGCCCGTGTCTCTATTGTTATGTGGTTTGTTTGGTAAAAATTGCCAAATGTGGCAGTGGGCGGGGCACATAGTTCATAAAGCTGATGGCCGCTGGGGCCGAAAAGTTCTCGAGTGATGACCACGAGCCGGAAGACGCAGTTTGGGTAGATCTAGGTGGACCGACGATCTAGTGATGGTCCCGGGAAGTATATGGATGCGGGCAGCGTTGAACCGGTCGTTGAGGAAATCCTTGGGGGAGTCCTATGCAGATTGCAGAGCAGTGGACATCCTGTAGCTGCTGAACATAGGCCTCCCCCAATGACTTCCACATCGCACGGTTGGTAGCAGCCTGCATCCAGCGCCTTCCTTCTACCTTTATCAGGTCGTCGGTCTACCTTGTAGTCCATCCAGTAGACCTATAGTTATAGATATTAAGAGGGACTCACCGATTGATGGTCTCACGATGGCGACGGGAAGGTTCCCGCACTCCTTTATGAGCATGTCCTCGGCGAGGGCCTTTGTGAATGTGTACGTGTTTGGCCTGTCACCTGGAAATGGAAAAACACAATAAAACATCCATGCAACAATAGACAAATGGTATAACATTAGCCAGATGCGTAGTGTGGATAAAATAGGCCAAATCTGCCTCCTGCAGTGGAGACTAGTGACCTCCCGATGATGTTGCTTCTTGCCTATAAGATACAGCGTGACCCTATCATCTCCTACATTTTACTAAGACCCTGTATTTGGCTGTTCCTGATTCTGTGCACCAGCTCATTCTTAACCAGACCAAATTAATGTCATGTACTGCTGTCCTGTCTTCCAGCTTTTGTCAGGGACTTACTGTCAGATTGCGCTCAAATGTTTGAGCAAAAGGTATTCTGCCTCTGGTAAATTACTTATGGGTGTCCTCCTGCTATGTAGCTCTTCACCTACACAATCCAGCGTCCACCAGCTCATCCTGCAGGGTCTTAGTAAGATTGCGTCCAAACCCCTGCTTATTATAGCCTTTTGCGTTCTACGTCATCTCCAGCTCCTCACCTACGAGGTCCGGCGTGATCCTGTCCACCAGCTCATCAGGCAAGGTCTGAACCAGCGTCACCACATGTTCAGGATGCGCAGGCGGCGCATACACCGTCTCTTCAACGCGCTCCCGCTCACAGTTACAGTACGCGGTCGACACGTGGACTAACGCCTGGAAATGGTAAATCAACACTGAGTACTCAAATAGACGAAAACGGCCCAACGATGGCGGCATCTGGCTAAGGCTGCGTTTCCACCAAAGATGTGCGAGGATGCGTAGCGAGGGATGTGTTTGTAAAGAACCAATAGAATCGCTTCATTTACTGTAGCGAGGTAAATCTCTGGTGGAAACGCAGCCTAAGTGTTGCCATTGTCCCGATTTCGGCAGAATGTCTCATTTATTTATTTAGGAAAACCAGGGTTTTACAGTGTGTAATAATAACATAAGATAGGCAACGAGTAAACCACTTATAGGTTCCCACAGGTAAAAACAATTTAAAAAAGGACAATGTTCGTTCTCCATACATTGTTCGCCGTTAGATCAACAGTGCCGAAATAATACTTTCTAGGTTCTAAATGACACAAATCTTTATGTAAGAACAATTATTCCTGGCGGACCAATTCTATAAACTTATTGATAGCAATATTGTTATCATAACCTCTTACTTACTAGTATTGTATTATATTATTTTATGCACATCGATTTGGGAGATGTTCTGTATTGTAGTTGTCGCAGCCAAATTGTATTATAATATTGGACGGGTTTTGGAAATAGCTCGGCGTTCCACTTTTATGATTTACTTACTTACATTTTGCACGTAAATAAATAACATGAATCCTATGTTTACTTTCCACTCTTGACATTTAACACGTGACTTACCAAACTAACTATCTCCATGGTTACCGTCTTAGTCTATGCATGACTAGGGATTGAACAACTTTTAATTGAATATTATTAACAATTCTCGATAATTATTATCGATTGAAAAATATTCGGTATTTGAATCGAAAGATATATTCAATTTTATCAATATCAAAATATTCAATTTTAATAATAAAATAAATATTATTTACTACCACCTATGAAATGTTCTAAAAATTGCCTGGAGCGCTCCCCCAATCCTGGGTTTTCCCTTTCCAAGCTGAGAGGATATCATTTTGGTTCTATCGATACATTATAAAGGTACTTAATATTTGAAATGTATTACCAATTATTGTTATAAGCATTTTGAGCGAATAAAACTTTCAATTCTATTAGAACTTTAGACATTTCTCTCACTTTAAGCGGCATTGGATTTTTCATCGAATTTTGAAACTGTAACAGATATATTAAAGATGATCCCATATTGTTGTCATTGTCTATATCAGTGTTATGATCACAATTCTTTTTATTTTATTCATGACCTTCGACCAGTTGGACACATTAGATAGCTTCTTGTAGTATCGTGCAATATATTTTTAACTTTTAATTAAAATCTAGTCATACTGTAGCAATTTGGACGATTTATTTTATTTACAAGATCGGTATCTTATTATCTATGATGACAGCATTCAACATCACTATTACATGGATTCCTAACAATGAAGTACGGCATTGCCTTGTGCCGATTTTACATAGATTTTATCGACACAAATTATGGAACTTCATAGGATATGGAGCAGGCCACGCCCTAAAATGTCCGGATGTCGTCATAGTATTATGGAATACATATAAAATACTTTTATTATTTCATTTTTTAATCCTCAAGTGTCCGTTACAATCTAATTAATATTTAAGTATTCAAAAAGTAAGAGATTAATTTTGATACTTTACTGCTGTGCCCAGGAATCTAAGGCGGTTTCTGACAATGTCCTTTAGTGAGCCTTTGCACCAGGGTATAGTATTGCTTTTATTAGCCCTCTCGAGACGCGTCCCGACAACATCATGAGTGGGACGCCTGTAATTGTACTTATTCGTTTATTTAATTACTGTTTAATTGCACAAAAAGCGAACTTTATGACGTGTGCACTCCTCTTCCAGACAATCAGAGTTTCAGTGGCAGGAAAGAGGGTTCAGATTAGCCCCGTATCTTCGTCTTCAACTTGAGATGAGTTAATGGCAATGAGATCCAACCGGTGTACTAGATGAACTGACGATCTAGTTAAGGTCAGCAACCGCCTGGATGACAACAGCGCAAGACCGGTCGTTGTGGAAATTCGTGGAGGGTTTTTGTCCAGCAGTGGACGTCTTCTGGACCCACCTCCAATCCCAGCATGCGATGGCACAACTGCACCAGCTGCTGCGTGCCCAGCATGTTGATGGTCACCGACAGCTTCAGTTTCTCGTCGAACTTCACCGTGGCTGCCGAGTGGAACACCACAGACACCTGGAAAATAATGTTCTTTTTTTGTATTTCTAGAGGTATGGTAATTCTTATGGTTAGCTTTTAGAGTTGCATCTCAAACTAATTTGAAAATTATAAATAACTTGAAAAAATCGAACTGCCTAAGGCGGGAATGGAATCCACGACCTTTCGCTCGCCGGGCGACTGCTCTTCTATCTGAGCTACTTAGACACTGGATGAACCCGTCGAAATTTTATGTATAATGTTCTTTATGCAGTATGGAAACAAGGTTACAGAAAGATCTTAAATACAAAGTATCACTTGATCCTTACATTTGACAAACTTGACCTTCACTGGTTGGGTTGTTGGCGGTCAAGCTGTTGATCCTGGCTACACAGGAGTTGCAGCGGTGGGAACGAGAGGTGGGAACGAGAGGTGGGAACAAGATGTGGGAATAGTCTTCTTACCTTTTGACATAGCATAGCCTGGTCCGCCGGACTGATGCCCAGTTCTGGTTCGGTGATATCCCCCACTATAGGTACGATTTTGTACAACTCTTGCGGCCTCTCTTTCCGCAGGGTCTCAAACAACTGAAAAGAAAAACGGATTCTTTATTAGAACACTTACAATTTAGTAAATAAAGAACGTGTGAGGTCTAGTGCTTGACTAAGTCAGTGCCTAAGGTATGTGAGTGGCACTGAAGGGGTGACTAAAATAATAATGTAATGTAATAATAGTGGGTACTCTAAAATAATAATCTAAAAGTAATCTGAAGTCTCGCTGATGTTTGTCGTCTCTCTCGTAGAGAAAGACGACTCTAATCCAGAGAACCAAAGTGACCGAAATAATCCGCAAAATTACTAAAATCAAGTGGCAGTGGGCGGGGTACATAGCTCGTAGAGCTGTTGGCCGATGGGGCAGAAAAGTTCTCGAGTGGCGACCACGGGCCGGAAGACGTAGAGTAGGCAGGCCCCCACTAGGTGGACCGACGATCTAGTGAAAGTCGCGGGAAGCACCTGGATGCGGGCAGCGCAATACCTACCAGTTGTTGAGGAAATCCTTGGGGGAGGCCATTGTCCAGTAGCGGACGGCATTTTTGGTTGAAACGAAGTCACGTACTTAAAGTACCTGTAACTCCCAAACGGCTTAACCGATTTAAACCAAATTTCTCCCATAATTAGACCAATAATAGAGCTTTATTTTGTGATAAACAATTTGACCGTAGTTTCAATACTTACCGGTGATTGAGTGAGCTCCGTAAGCCGCGACGCCACATCTTGCCCGCGCTTGGGTCGCATCAACAAGTAGATTTTCTTGATTTTAGGACAACTTCTGAGCAGTTTTTCAACTAGCACCTGAAAAGAAATTATTTTTGTTATTTAAGTAGCCATTTCATTATAAAAGCTAAGAAAATTACGTCCATTATTGGCTAAGTTATTGGTTCCCAAAGGGGGGGGTGCGCTCCCCAGGGGAGGCGCAAAGACCTTTAAAGGGGGGCGCGGGCCTTCTGTGTGCTAAGGTATAAAAAACCTGCGACCGCTGAGAGAATGCATTCCAGACTGCTCGATACGACCAATAAATAATCTTGACTGGAAGAGAGGGGCGCGGAATTTTTTGTATGGTCGAAAGGGGCGCGTCAAATAAGTTTGGGAACCAATGCAAGTAGCTAGCGACACTAGAGATTTACACTAGTGAAAGAACCTGAATTTACAGTAGCGCCAACCTGGCAAGTGTAAATGCCATAATCATCTTACCTCTACTACTACTCTGGCGGGACTTTACTTGCAGTCAACTGGTCAGCGCAAATACAAATATATTTAAGTAACTCGACAACACAGATCCATTTGTTAGTACACAGTTTTGAACTACCACTAAGTGTTAGTAAACAGTAGTATGTTTTTTAATTTTAATAGGTAATTTCCCTAGGAGGCATCTCATACAAACGTCACCCGATCTCGTGGCCGCTACTTCGAGCATCGTTTTTATTAAATACAGGCTCTATTTTCTTTTGTTCAATATTTTCTTGTATTATTTTGTTAGTTTTGCAGGCAATACCAACGTTGGCATAGCAAACTTTGGTAAGTGCTTAAATAGGTCAGTGCCTGAGGTATTGACAGTGACATTGACTGACATCTTATGACATGACAAAGCTTACAAATCTGAAGTCTGGCTGACGTTAGACGTCTCAAAAACACCCTCCCGTGCCGCGCCCATGCCTCAGGCATTGACTCAGTTAAGAGCTAGACGCTGACTGTATGACATAAGCTTGATTATGTCGTAGTGTGTACACAAAGAAACACCATGTAAACAAACATACACATAAAGCAAAAGTTTAAGCAAATGTAGTCGGTGCAGTAAACACGCACGCAATAAAATTTAGGGTAAAAAGCAGTTGGAATTCCCCAGTTGGAAAAAGTAGTTAAAGTGTTTCAATCTGGACATTAAGTAGTAAAATGACATTGTTCAGGTGTTTGTATTATAAATGTAAATTGGTCAATACACCCAGGTTCTATTCAATCCTATCTTCTAGCTAGACTAAAATATGACACTCATCATTATAGGCCTCCCCCAATGCTTTCCATGTTGCCCGGTTGGTAGCGGCCTGCGTACAGCGCCTTCCTGCTACCTTTATGATGTCGTCATGACACTCAAGATGAATTAGAATTTCGGATTCGCTTCACTATGTCATACTTCGTTTCGTACAGCGATTGCGAAATTAAATCTGTCCGAAATGTTACTTTGTCAGAGAGAGAGAGACTTTGTCTTGAGTTTTTAAAAGGAATAGCATACGTCCCTTAAAAAGGGCCTACATACTAAAGTTTCGGCCAAACCAACGCGAGCAGACTGCGTGCGCGATAGGGCGATGATGTCGTGTAAGAATTTGTAGCGATGAGTTCACATCAACGCATTATGTCATTGGTCGCGGCGATCTATGCACGCGCAGTGATCGCCATCGCCATCGCGGACACGATTTGCACGCGTTGGTTTGGCGGAAGCTTACAGGTGTTTCCCTGGGTAAAAAATCTAATTAGTCCGTCGACTTATCAAAAAATACTGGACACGTATTTTTAACTTTTTCAAACTAATGAAAATTGAAAGAGATAAAGCGCGTCAAAGTTCAAAAGAAGAGACCCGTGACGTCAAGGCTTACTTAAAAGTGTAGCACTCTGTGACGTCACGCGGAATTAACGCATCATAACTTCGTAATTACTTGTTTGATTGACAAATAAAAATATACGTGTTCAATATTTTTAAACTAAGGCATTTGAACTTACCTTTCCCATAAACCCGGTACCGCCCGTCACAAAAACAGATTTGTCAGCATAAAACTCAGCCACTGGCACGTACTCTTGTCCGTCGACATACTGCCCGTTCATACACCACGCCATCTCTTATTCAAAATCTGGAACTAGCCTTCAAGGCATCAACCGTCTAACGTAGGAGCGCGCCACTAATCTTTCATCAGATACTGTCACTTCTCTTCATACTGCTGGATTTCATCTGCAACAAAAATAGGGACAGCTCAGTGTAAAAAGTCCACTATATTTATATTTTAACATAGTATAATAATGGGAAAGTCATTGTGATTTTATTGTATGGAATATGTAGAAATAAATTACCAGTGTTTTTAAACAAACGGTTGTTTAAAAGACCTTGTAGCCATTGTAACTGATAAACTGGTTTTCTCTAGCTAGAAAGATGTCATTTGTATCGTCTTAGTATCGCCCAAGATCTCTCAATGTATACTTCTACCGTGTCAAGAGTAATTTTGTCATTCAGCGCCTATTATGGAAGAATCATATTACACATTAGTAGGACCGCTGTTTATGATTTTTTCTGAGGCTCTACCAGGTAGGATTAAGCAGTAGGATCACGGGAAAAGCATGGTGATGGGAACTGGCTGACCAGGACTTACAGCAGGTATGTCTTTGAGAAATTATTTCCAAAGTACTACGTAACTATTCTCGGTTATTTCTCTAGCAATATACGCACATTATGTATTTTTCCACCATGTTGTATCCATGAACATAGGTTATGAATAGACGCATGACCCATGACAAATTTTGCTGTACTCTTCGGAGAAAAGTTTACAAAATACATTGTCGTACCTCCGCGACAGTAAAATAAAGCAATAAAACAAAATCTGTCCTTACCAAAATATACCATTACAAAAAAATCACAGATCTCTTTCGAAACAACAAACTGTCAAAGGTTCAAAATTCTTCAACGCACACACTATGGAAAACATTGAATAATACCACAAAATGCATGGCGGTTTATTTCAAATCATGGGATTCAGCTTATCTTAACAGAAATTAGTTTAAAACTACATCAATCTTTTAAAATTCACAGATAAAAATCTGATGGATAACGTATGGGTGACATACGTTTGACATATAGCCTTTTTCTGCGGGAGAGCCAGTTACTCCATGTTTGAATAGGTTCGTGAAACGAGGATTCATCTTGGACTGGAGACCTGACACCTAGCTAGACCTAAACGAAGAACGAAATCGATACTGCCTGTTAGAGGTGGGCGCCACGCCGGCGCGCCGCCGCCTCCGCGAATTTTTTCACGCCGCCGCCGCCGACGACCAGCTGTCGGCGCGCCGATTCTGATACTGTACCAACTATTTGCAATTTATTCCTCTCCTATACTGTACTAATTTGTGTTTCGAACGCAGAAGAACTATTTTTTTTATTGAGTTGAGCGGCTATTCTACTTCAATAAAGTCCTAGTATCACTACGACCGGTACCGATCTATTGTGATCGCCGCTATTTTCCTTAAAGTTCGTCTCCGAGTCCTACATCCATTAGGAATTGCAGTATCTTTTGGGGGGCGATATGTTTTACATCTTGTGGGCTTAGGATGTGTTTGCCCAGGTGTAAGCTCCGCTTGCGCATCAAAGGTCCGCAGCCGTGAGAATGTGTGGTGGCGTTTCATCTGCCTCTTCGACGTCCTGCGCGTTCTTGATTCGGACAAGTACTTGTTTAAGCTGCAGTGTCCAGTGAGGTCTCGAAATAAGATGCGCATTTTGATCCTACTCAGTCCTATGATCTGCTTAGAGCATTTTCGGTCATAAGCTTTTATGAGAGTTTTGGAATGAGTTAATCCTGGCGTGTCTGACCATGCCCTAAAGGAATTGTTTAAATAGATGTTCTCCAGGGTAAGTAAGTCAGGGTCATTCAAGCGAGACTTTTGGGAATGCCACAAAAGGGTTCTGGACCATATTGTGTTCCCTCCGCTCGTCGCTTAGTTCGTCGGCATTTTCATTGCCACGATTCCCGCGTGACTTGGAACCCATTTCAGCTTTACTCTGTTACGTTCTCCTAGGGTTTTCAGTCGACTCATGCAGTTTTCTACCAACTTTGAGGTGATTAAGTTGGAGTTTAAGGCCATCAGCGCGGTATGCCTGACTGTCTGAGTTAATGTAATTTAATTTTTTTCGCAACTTAATGCCGTTGTAATACTAATAAATTGATTGAATAACTCAATACTAACTATATTAACAGTTAATCAAGTACATTATTCAAGTTGCTGCTTGGTCTAGTAGATAATTGAACGCGAGAGGCGTCGGTCCCTCTTGCTGTCAAGAAAAAAATCCACCGCCTTCGTCTGGCAGACAACCCACACTATTGGACTATACTTTTAGCGAATCACACACACAGAGTTTGGCAAATATGTCTCCGAATGCAAATGGGAACCACAACCTCTGGAAGGCAACAAAGTACCTCCCTCAAAGTGTTCTCCGCTTATTAGGTCCGATAATACATGAGTGCGAACTGACAAGAAAAATCTCAGACCTTTGCTACATGACAAGCCGGTTTATTAAACCCATTGACACGGATAATCCAAAAAATCCACAATTCAATAAAAAAAAATTAAGATCAAGCATTGAACTTGATCCGAGACTTGCAGCTATAATGCCTGCCTTTGATTCATCCGACCGATTTCGGTCATGGTGACCACTTCGACATAGCTGTCTTAGCGGCGCTGGTGCGCCCGAAGATGACTTACCTAGCCAATATTCGCGGCAAACTCCTCGCACATGAGAGTTTTACATCGTCGCGTTTTGCGTCGAGTTCAGTTGTGCGCTGCTCCTTGAATTCGCCGACTCGCCTCTACACAACACAATCTCTCGCCATTCTAGGTGCTGTGCTGCCAAACCTTCTCATTGTGATTTGAGAGGGCCCATTTTGCATCTTTTCGTATGCTAAAGTTCTTGAGTGGCAACCACGAGCCGAAAGACGTAGCGTGGGCAGGCCTCCCACTAGGTGGACCGACGATTTGGGGAAGGTCGCAGGAAGTGCCTGGATGCGAGCGGCGCAGGACGTCTTTCGGCTGAAACGAAAGAACTAACGCTAAGAGAGATGGCTAAACTAAAGAAATAGCAAAAATGAACCCTCGTAAATCACTTGCATTTGATCTGATCACCATGAAGTCCATGGTATATGGTGACAATGACCACACTGAGTGAGAACCTCGCAAGTCTCTTAACTTTGGAAATGATCCCTAAGATTGGCAAGTCGCCTAACGAATTCTCTTATCGCTCAATTAATCTGACATTTGTATTGTTAAAATTATGGAAAAGGATCATTCTTGCTCGTTTATTCCCTTGCCTAAGTATGACCCATGTAATANATCGGCGCCCACCTCTACTGCCTGTTTCGCTGAAAATGGCACTCAGATGGTGACCTAGACATCCTAGAAGATAAACAAAGGATTTTCCCAAATCCACCCGGTAAAGGGCTTTTTAAACCGCGGGTAAAAGCTACTAATCAAAACAAATCATTTACTCAGTACATAGGCCCTTTTCAAGGCACTTCTACACCTCCCAAATATAGCTTGCCTTACCACCACTTCGGGACACCATATTGCTGAGAAGAAGTGGCGGCTGCGAAGAATATTATAAATGCAAAAGTAGCTCTATCTGTCTGTCTCGTTACCTTTTACACCACTGAAAAATGTAAGTAATTTAGTTAAGGTAAGAACTTGAACAGGAGTTGCCAATAGTGAGTAGAACGAGAGACAGGAACGACACATTATTATAATTAACTAGTTATTTGTTATTATCAGAAATTGAACCTGCAACTGGTCCAGTCTGCGAACTTGTAGTAAATGAATAATTTGTATTTTTATATATTTTTAGCAGCCCAAAATCACGCGTAGTAAAATACCCAGAATCATCTTTTGTTAACGATGCATAAATTAGAGTCATTTTGTGTTTTATTTCTTTGTCTTTTTATCAAATTGGTAGTGACCAATAATTAGGTCACCACCAATTTGATAAAAAAGAGTTCATTAACTAGATAACTAATCGATTTAGTTGATTGCATGTAATTCCCATACGTTATTCTAATAAAAAAAACTGGTTATCTTTAGATTCAGAATAGCCTGATTTCGATTAAAATGAACTTTAGTAAATGATTAAAAGTAAATTAGGCTTTTTCAAAATGACTGCGGTTTGGTGGAGGCGAGATTATAAGGCGAGTGGTCACTCTTAGCACAGAATAAGTAATAGTACAGGTACAGAAGGATTACTCCGCAAGACGATTTAAATAAATGCGAGTCTTGCTACGACGCGATACAGTGGAATTCAGCTCGCACAGCACTACGTACCTACAATTTTATTCACCTACAAGTTTTGTCTCTTTCTATCGCGTGCCTCTGAACTCTTCTTACGCTGTTAGGGTTGCTGTCTAGTGAAAAAATAATTAATCTACTTATTTGTAATGAGGTACGTATGTAGGTAAGTATGCATTCATTATGGAAAACCTTGGGAGAGGCCTTTGTCCAGCAGTGGACGTCATTTGGCTGAAACGAACGAACGCATTCTGAGCAGTAGTCATAGTAGGTTAGGTTCCTATACTATCCTAAGAAATATTGATTACCTACATGGCCAACATACCTTTTAGCATCTTTGGGAAGCGAAAAAAAAAGATAAATCCGGTAGATTACTTTTCGAATTTAAACACCCGAACGCCGCACAATATTTCTTTCTCTTTATGTCCATTTTTAAATAATACTTCGATCATAGAATTATAATCATACTACAACGCACGCCAGCGTCCTGACGAGCGCGCGCGTGACACTCGACTGATAAAATACCCGCCGGCGGGGCGCTTCGCTGTAGGTAATTATCGGATGTACCTCGCGGAGTGAGCCAGGCCTGCTCTTAGCTACCAAATACTTTATTAATACTTTATTAGTATGTAAGATCGCGGAAAGTGCTTGATTGCGGGCAGCGCAGCACAGGTCGTTGTGGAAATATTTGGGGGAGGCCTTTGTCCAGCAGTGGACATCATTCGGCTGAAACAAACGAACAAATCTCAACACAACAGGGACAACAAATATCAGCTGGTGTTGAGAAGAAGTAATGTGATAAAAACCAGGATATTATATGTATTTCGAACTCCTCCTTTAATCTTCTGATCAAATTCTTTGTGGGTTCCAAGACAGTTGACTATCCCTCGGGACTACTCAACCTTCCCTGGAGGAGAA